CGAAAAGTTTCCAAATGTTTGAGGTCATGAAATATGAATGGTATAAAATTCCAAATAGTTTTATTAACAATTTAATAGTACCTATGACCCGTAGAAGTGCCCAAGTAATAAAAAGCAAAGGGCTTTATACTAAATTTAGAAAAATAATACAAAAATTTAATATAATAAATAAAGTTGCTATTGTTCTGCACAGCCGCATTTCGCAATATCTCATTATTTTTGTGAATTATTTAACCCGTTATTTAGAATTGTAGATTTTGTTGTTTTTTTATAATAGCTAATACAATAACAAATAAAACTCTGTATTTAAGTTTTTGAATGAAAAGTAAAAAGTAGACAAAAAACTTATTTATTTGATGGCCAAATTTTGGTTGCTTTTGTTATGCACAACACTGTATATAGATACACTCATATATAATATTTGTTTAATAATAAAATATATTTTCTTGTTTTCAATAATTCATAGCTGGCCGTAAAATTAAATCCGTGATATGAAATATTATTTAACATTAAGATAATTAAAAAGCTTAGAATAATTACAAGAGATCATTAAAATACAAAAAAAAGAAATCCTAATAGAAATACTTGAAAGCCTCTTCAACAAATTTTTTGTATGTTTTAAATAAAAGCATCAACAAAATAAAATAAATATAAAATAAAAACAAAAAGAAACAACAACAACACTACAAAAGCAACCTGTTTTTATTCATTTTATTTGTTTAATATTAAAGCTTGTAATCAAAATACAACAACAACAGCAACAACAACATGAAGAAGAAATTCGTCTATGCCGGCAAATCGTCGTTCGTGTCGTATGCCTGAAGACCGCAAAAAATCGAAACGTGTACCGCGGAGTTATGGCAAATTCTGTGTAGTTTCTTAAAAATACCATAAAAACAAAATCTAAACGAATAAAATAATAATAAAAAAATCTTAAATAATTTGTTTTTCTCTACATATTTTAGAATGAATTAAAATTGTCTTAAAGAGGAATTAAATAAATTATAAGAAAAAGAAAAGAAAACAAATTAAAGTAACAAAATGAAATAAATTAATGAAATTTTATGTTTTCATTTAAGTTTGAAAGTGCAATAAAATAAACAAATAAAGCTTTATTTCAAAAAAAAAAAAAAAAAAATATATAAATAATAATAAAAAAGAAATTTAAATTTAATCTAAATACACATAAATAAATTTAACATAGAAGAGAAATAAATATTTGCTTACAAGATTAGTGGTGAATTCTATTTTTGATGTGCTCGATGTGCTAAAAATAAAACAAAATTATGAGCTTCACTTAAATCCAATTGGAAAAATCTATATTTAAGGCTCACTACCACCGGCATTAAATCATTACTCACATCATATATTGTGTTATTGACAAAGTGGTTGCTGTTATTGTTAACAACCACAGCAAAAAATAGAGTGAAAACAGTCTCCTACAACACTCACACTGCAACAGTACGAATGTTGCAGCAACAACAATAACAACATTCAAGCAACGTCATAATCTTTCATTATCCTCTTGAAAGAATCCTCTACACTCAAAACGCAATGTTGTATTGTACTCTGAGTATTGCGTAAAATTTATTTCAACAAAAAAACAAAACAACAAAAAATATAAGCATTAAAATATATAAAAGTTTATTGTAAACAACAACAAACTCCCATCAGTAGCGGCAGCAGCATCAGCATCCTTCGCATTTTGGAAGCAAACCCAACACACTCAACACACAATACACAACACATCAAAATGGGAAGACGTCCATTTAATCGCGTCTGCGCTATAAATTACCCCAGCCGGGTTGAGGGTTGGTTGGATGTTTGTGGTGAGTATTTTTCTCATATAAACTGCGTACTTTACATCTTAAATACAACAAACAACAAATAAAAAAAAACAACAATTGATTTTTTTTAATTTAAAATAAACATGTCCTCATTTAATTATTAGAGTTGCAATGCAATAAAGTGCAAAGGTTAAATTGCACAAAAAAAAAAATTAATATATTTAATATAGTAATTTATCTGCTCTAAAAATGTCTAAATTGATATTTTTATCAAGATATTTCTATTTAAATAAATATCTAAATTGTAGTTGGATTCTGTACTTTATTTTGTGTAGGCATATATTGAATATATCGTAAGCCTATTAGTAATTAATTAGGTGAAGGTCGAAATCTAGTTAGAAAGCAAGGACGAGAGGCGTTAAGTATTTTTTTTTTGTATGATGCGTTTTTGTTTTTGTTTCATTAGTTTATAATTTTAAAAATATTAAATTTTAAATTAGTTAATTTCTCGAACATTATATTTTTATAATGCTTTTTTTTATAATAGCAAAGAAAGAAAGGAGAAACACAAAAATTTAGTTAATTCTTTGAAATTTGACTGACCATATAAGGGTATTGCCAAGTACTCATCATTTGTGTTCATAGGAGATAATCGAATTTTTTGATTAATTTATAGTCTATATATAATTTGTTTTTTTTTTATATATTTTATATCCAAAAACTCACAAAAATTTAGTTAATGTATTGAAATTTAGCTGAGCATGTAACGCTGTTTCGAATATTGCCAAGTACTCAACATCAGCGGTCTTAGAAAATAATTGAATTTCTTAATTATTTTATAGCCCGTATATAATTTGTTTTTTTTTTATGTATGTATTTTATATTCGGCTACAAATCACCTATTTTTTTACTTTCAAATTAAACGTTTATTTAATATTTCTATATATCATATATTTTGACTGTTCTTGAGAGTCATCATCTCAGGAACAGAATTAATTAATAAACATTATTACATTAAAATTTATATACATAAATATAAACATTTATTAATTAGTTCTGATCTTAATAATGACTCTCACGGAGAGTCGAAATATAGAACATATTAAAAAATATTAAACAAACGTTTAATTTAAAACAAAGGTGACATGTAGCTGTATATGAAATATATAAAAAAAGCGTCAACTTTGATGTGTTCAGAATCAAAAAATTTTCTTGACTGCCGCAGGTTTGTTAAGGCTCTTCAGTGTTCAAATAGATTTCGTTTCTTCTGTTCACAAATTTAGTTATTAGTAAAGCTATTTATCAACCCGCAGAAGGGCTCTGGACCAATTTTTACCAGGGAGTCTGCCATTTCGTTGCCCTCATGACTCTCATGTCTCGGTACTCACATAAGAGTACCAGATTTTGTTGATGTTAGAGTATTGAGAAGTTGAAAGCATTCCCCTAGCAACTTTGATTAGTATGAAGAGTTTGCTAAGGATTTTATGTAGAGTTGTTCGATTGTTCGAGAGAATGCATATTTTGGTACCTCGGGTGCCTCTACGTAGGCATTATCTAGTACTTAGCTCTAAGGCATTTTGTAGTAGAATTAAAGATATGTTTGCTTAGGAAATTTATTCTACTTCTTGCTAGAGTCGGAAGTAGTATTAATGAATGATTAGTTTCTTGTAGTATTATTAATCACAAATAATAGTAAAAATTTAGCCATTCATAAAATAAACTTTAGTATATTAATGATTACTTCGAAGACTTTAAAATTCGCTATTATGTTCTCTGTAAAAATCTACAGAGATTAAATCTATTAGAGTTATTTAATGCTTAGATATTTGCTAATTATGCAAAATCGTATGAATATCTTTAATTTTTTATCAAAATTTTGGTTCTTTAATATAATTCATTTAGGTATTTAATAAAAACTCAAGTGCATAATCGCTTTCGTAGATAGTTATACAGTATCATTGTCTATTTTTATTTTACAATTTTTACAAATCTCTTTATACTTTAACTCATGTTATATACTTTTTTATATATTTATGATTGAAATCCTTCAAAATAGTTGAAAACGTTTTATATACAATGTGTTTGCGTTATATTTGTACTGGATTAACATGAGAATTTTGTTTGTACTTTTAGCTGTCATGTTTGTAATTTCAGCTGTCAATTGTTGTTGCTTTCAATGCAAAATGAAAACTTTTGACAACTAAAATTACAACCAAAACTCTTGTGTGAATCCGATATTAAGTTAGTAAATGTCCTTCGTATACACAAGGTTAACTTTAATTTGTATCTTTTTTATTACTTTATTTATACTGGTACACATTCACTATCGTATATACTCGATAAAACATTCTTTTTTATTTGAGAACTACATTTCTATAATTTTTACTTTTATATAAACAAATAAAAACATAAACATTACATGAACCCAATTTAAAATTTTATTTTTCTTTACTCTGTTTTATTTTATTTTTGCATAGTCCTTTTTATGGATTTTTTGTTAAATTAATTTGCAATTTTTATGCGGCACGTGTTACCATTTTTGCTATAAAATAAAACCATTCAAGTTTCGTACCCACATTGTAACTTAATTTGTAAAAATATTTTAGGCCTTTTTTTGAGGCTTCGGTATAAATATAGGCATATACCGAAGGACCCTATATAAAATTTATGATAATTTTATTTTTTTACCCATGCATAGAGAAATATTACTATTGATGATAATAAAAATATATATACTGAAGGTTTGTGTAAATTGAGTACATTTTGAAACTATATTGAGTGAAAATAGTAAATAAAATAATAAAATGTTTTATAAAATTTAATAGCTTTTTTTAACTATATATTTTAACTGTTATTTCTTCCGTTTGTAGTTTTTATTAAAAAAAAGTTAGTTATTGCACATCCTTGCATTGTGAAAACAGTGCACTACTAGTGAAACCAAAAAGATATTGAGTATTTCAACTTCCTTGATTGGTTTAAATAAATAATGGAAATGCATAAAATGTCAAGGACCAATTGAAGGTCCTTGAGCTGCCAACGGTACACTTGTAACCCTAATTTTTCATTTATTGTCTTATTACTACTACAATGCAAATACTGCAGTTCGATTAGTTAGAGTTCATTTGAGCTTTTATTTGGAAATAATTTTTTTAGAACAATACAGAGTTCTCAAAATGTCTTCTCAAGCTTTTGAAAGTTGATTTATTCACTTACAATATTAAATGCATATTTTGATAGTTCCTAGTTAAGAGCATAATCTACAAAACTATAACATTCGTAGTATGTTTATATTTAGTACTATTATGTTATAGTACTATTACATTATATTGGATATTATTTTGTTATTTTGCAGGAAGTTTTATAAAAGCAATAGTGTAGTTTATTTGCGAAAAACTTGACCAATTGATATTAAACATGGTTTTTTTTTCAAGCAATTTTTTACCAAGAAAAGGCCTTTGCAGAGCAACAAATGATTGTCAGATGAAATTAGGCTAGGCTATAATTTCTAGGCTATACTCTGCGGTGGATGCATCAAGACTTCCCATTCAAATACCGTCGATTTATTCCGAGTCATCAAAGATATGTATGACCTGACGTTGTTATCATCGCTTGCATTGGATATTATCGTATTTCTATTATTTTTAATTGCCCGTTAAAAATTAGTCTATTTAATAACATGGTTTTCTCTATCGTTTCTATGCGTGTTTTTGTAGGAAGACTTGTTGTCATCAAGATGTGTCATGAAAGATATATATGGCCTGACATTGTCTTGATCGCTTGCATTGTAAATGATCGTATTTATACTATTTTTAAACGCCCGTTAAAAATTAGGCTTTTTATGCAATTTTTTGTACACAAATTTATTCTAAAATTTTTTATAGATTTTTTGTAGAACGATTTTTTCAGTCTCGACAATAGCTTCGTGATTGGAGCTCTTTCTCTTCTGCATTGGTTTTAGGTCTGCAAATAGGTAGTAGTCGATGGGAGCTCAACCCTATCAATGGTTATAATATATGTAATATAAATAATATATATATAAAATGTTGAAATAATTATAATGATATTTTAATATTCACCTATACATAGGTTTCGAACTGTAGTAAATTCTAACAACAAAAATTATTTTAATATTTTAATTGATTGAATTTTTGGTTGTTTTGAGTATTACCAAATGCGCTTCATCACTGGTCTTGGAATTATTTGTTATATTAAATTATTCGTAAATAAATTTTTGAGTCTCCAAGTACCAAGGGTTGAACTCGTACACTGCCAAATTTCAAGCAAAGGTTCAGTTAATTAAAATATTACAATAATTTCTTATTGTTATAGTTCACTACTATTCGAAACCTATCGAAACCTCTTAAATGCAATAGTTTCTATGAAGTAAAATAGTCACCACCGTCATAATAGGTCAATTAATTAATACATTTAAATAATTTTTTGTTGTTGTAGTTCAGTACTATTCAAAACCTCTCTATTAAATGCAATAGTTTCTATTAAGTTATGACTACCGTCATAACTAACTTTAAAAAAAAAGTATTCATTTTAATATTTATCTATAAATATTTAAATTGATTTAAAAAAAAATTGTGTTTACCAAGCAAATATTTATTTTATAAAAATTAATCATTTTCAGTTTTTACAATATAATATATTTTCTAACATTATACTGTTAGGAAAAATTAATTAAAAACGAATGGAAAAGATTTAACTAATTTTTGTTGTTATTGTATATTTTCCATATATTATATTTATGTTATCTTGGAAATATAGTCTTCTACCAAATATAATAATATGAGTTCTTTTACAGGCACATATACCTAGGCAAAAAATTGCTAAAAGTTATCTTTATTCTTTTATTTATTTTAGTCACCAGTATTTGCCGCTAAAAGATAAAAACTCTTTTGATTGACATGAAAATACTTGTAATCAATTTTTTAGTTTGTTTTCTATAAAAGTATCCAACCTGTTATTTTTTTTTTTTTCTTATAATTTCTGTTTTGGTAAAGGGTTAAAATAAATTTTTATCTATATTTTTGTCA